CAGACAATGACATCACATCGAAAAACTCCCTCCAGAGCCATAATGGGGGGGAAATGGGAAGGGTCATCAAGGAACATGTGTAAAGGACACATGGACAAAACCAAAGAGGGTAGGTTCAAGGGTACTGGTGAGAATGGGGGCGGGAATGGGTGGGGCAGGGGCCATGGTGGGGTGAAAATGAAGACAACTGTACTTGAACAACAATTAAAAAAACAAACAAAAAAATAAAAACTCCCTCACGCTGTCCTTTCAAGTACTCTTCCCATCCCAATCTCTGATTTGTTCTCCATCACTATAGATGTTAACCATTTTGAGAATATCCTACAAATGTAATCACACAGTGTACAATCTTTGGAGACTGATTTCCTTAAATCTGGATGATGCTATTGAGATTCATCCAAACTATTGTGTGTGTAATGGTTCATTGATTCTTGTTGTCACGTAGTTTCAGTGTATGAACATGGTTTGTTTAGTTGTTCACCTACTGATAGTCATCAAGACTGTTTTCAGTTTGGGGTACTTATGTGTAGAGTGACTACAAAAATCTCCTGTATCCGTTTTTGTGGGAACACATGTTTTTCTTTCATTAGGATAATGCCTAAGAGTGCATCATATGATTTTACAAGACACTGCAAACAATTTTCTACAGCGTCTGTGCCATCCTGCATTGACAAAACTCTTGCTCTAGTTGCTCTGTATACTTTGAACTTGGATTGTATTTTTTTTTTAATTTTCACCATTCTAATAGGTGTGTAATGCTACCAGAGTGGTTTTAATTTACATTTCCCCAAAGGCTAATGATGCTGAAAATTTTTATGTGTATATTTGCATCCTTTTATCTCCCATGGTACAGAATTCTATTAAAATTCTTTGTCATTTTTTAAATTTTATTTTAAAATAAATTTATATTTATAGAAAGTTACAAAAATAGTGCTGAGAATTCTCACATACCTTATACACATTTTTAACATCTCACATTCAGGCACATTTATCATAACTAATAAGCTAATATTTATACATCATAATGAATTGAAGTCCATGTTTGTTAGATATACTCAATTTTTACTTAATGTCCTGTTTTTGTTCCAGGATCTCATCCAGGATGGCATTTTAGTTATTAGTGACATCTCCTGGCATGCCCTTAGACTGACAGTTTTTCAGGCTTTTCTTGTTTTTGGAAACCTTGTCAGTTTGAGGAATACTGCTCGGATATTTTGTGCAATATCTTCAATTTGCTTTTGTCTGATATTTTTCTCAAGTTAGACAGAAGTTATGGGTTTTGATGGCTTTGCTTATTTTTAATAGGATTGTTTTCTTATTGTTGAGTTTTGAGAGTTCTTTATATATTATGAACACAAGTCTTTGGCAGAGATATCATTTGCAAATGTTTTTTCCCTGCTTGTTTTTTCATTCTCTTAACAGTGATATTCTTGAGCAAGCATTTGATCTGCAAAATATATACAAAGAACTCACATGACTCAACACAAGGAAAACAAACAATCCAATTGAAAAATGGACAAAGGACCTGAACAGACACTTCTTCGAGGAGAACATAGAGCGGGCCCAGAGATGTATTAAAGGATGCTCAGCATCACTAGCCATTAGAGAGATGCAAAATAAAACCACAATGAAATACCACTTCACACTGGCCATCATAAACAAATCAACAAACAATTGCTGGTGAGGCTGTGGAGAAAAGGGAATCCTAGTGCACTATATGCAGACTGGTGCAAGCACTGTGGAAAACAGTAAGAGATTTCCTCAGAAAACTAAAAATGGATCTGCCTTTTGACCCAGCAATTCCACTACTGGGATTATACCCCAAGAATCCTGAAACACAAATTCAAAAGAACCTCTGCACCCCTATGTTCATGGTACCACAATTTATAATAGCCTAGCTTTGGAAGCAACCTAAGTGCCCATCAGTAAATGAGTGGATCAAAAAACTATGGAACATTTACACAAGGGAATACTACACAGCAGAAAGAAAGAAGGAGCTCCTACCCTTTGCGATAGCATGGATGGAACTGGAGAGCATTATGCTAAGTGAAATGAGTCAGGCAGTGAAAGACAAATACCATATGATCTCACCTTTAAGTGGAACCTAATCAGCAAAACCAGCAAGCAAGCACAACAGAACCAGGGACATGGAAATAAAGAACAATTATGACAGTAACCCGGGGTGGGGGGGAGAGAAAGAGTTACCAAAGAACCTATATAAAGGATATATGGACAAAGCCAAAGGGGGGTAGGATGGAGGGTGGCAGGAGGGAATGACTGGGGTAGGGGGCAGTTGTGGTGGGGAAATTGAGACAACTGTACATGAACAACAATAAAAAAAATTTTAATTAAAAAAATAAGGTGTAGTTAAGATAAAGGTTTAAAATTTGATGTAATCCAATTTATAATTTTTTTTATTTTATGGGTCATGGTTTATTGGTCATTTTTAGGAACTTCTTAAATAACCCCAGGTTGTGAAGATTTCCTCCCAATGTTTTCTTCTAAAATATTTATAGTTTTAGATGGATTGTTCTGTAAATGCCAATTAGACCCAGCTAGTTGATGATGTTTTTCTTTTGGTTTGGCTTGTTTGTGGCCCACTAGAATTTATAGGTTTATGTCTTTTGCCAAGTTTGGGAAGTTTTCAGCAATTATTTCTTCAAATGTTTGTTCAGCACTGTGCTTTCTCCTGTCCTTCTGGTACTCTGATGGTGATATGCATACTAGAAGTTCTGTTGTCCCATAGGTTCCTTGAGGTCTGTTCACGTTTTCTCTGTATTGATCAGGCTGGATAATTTCTGTCACTCTGTCTTCAAATTCACTGATTTTCCCCTCCGTGTCTCCTCTCCATTCTTTTACTGACTTCATCCAGTGAGATATTAATTATGGTTATTATATACTTTGGTTCTTAAATTTCCATTTGCTTTATATCTTCCATTACTTTCATGATTCTTTATAGTTTAATATTTGTTTCAAGAATGTTCACTATTGTTCATTTAAGCACTTTTATAATAGCTCTTTTGAAGTCTTTGGCATATAATCTAAATATTCATTTCATCTTATTGTTGGCTTCTATTTATAATTTTCCATGCAAGTTCAGATTTACATGGTTCTTAGTTTACTGAATAACTTTGGCAGTGCTGTTGAAAGAACATGTTTAGAGAAACATGTAGTACTCAAAGATTCTATAAATATTTGTGTCACAAGGGAAAAAACAGCTAAAGTCTGTCTTTTTGATGATTTACTAAAAATTCCTTTTTGGAAGGTTGTAGTTTAACAATTGAAATTGAAACAATATCATATTATTCATTATATATTTTAATTACAAGATATGTTTCTTGAATGGTAGTAATAGGAAAGACTGAATTCTCAAGACTAACTACGTGAGACTTCAGGTTTTGTTTTTGCCTTATACCATATTTCCTATGCACAGAATAATGTGAAATCAACCAGTTATTATCATATTTTTTCATTATCAAGTATAATTATTTTATCTTCTATAGGCATAGTTATTTTTCTTTAGCATGGCAATACATACTTAAGTAAAAGCAAAGATGAAATTATCCCACTTGAAGAGAAGGAAAATAATAATTTCTTCTCCCCACATATAAGACTACCAATCCTTCCCATGTAAAGCAGGATTGGAAGCAGGGAGAGCACACAGGACACACATGGCTCCTCTACAGTCTTGCTAACTTACTAAATCTGCCTTTGCAGCAGTGTAGTTAGAAATTGCTACAAAGAACAGACCAGGCTCTGTGTGACCACAAGGCATCCACACATTTTGCTACGATAATGGTGACAATTCTTTAGGGAAATTCTACTTGCCTTGTTGAAAACAACAAAAAATAGAAACAAAACTTAAATAAAGGCAAATAACTACAAATAGAGAGAAAGCAAATAAAGAAAAGAAGGGGAGATGGAGGGAGGAAGAGAGAGAAGGGGAGGGAAGGAAGAAGGGGAGGAGGGAGAGAAAGAAGAAGGAAGAAAGAAATGCCTCTCAACTGCTACAAGCATGTCTTTCGATTGAGACACAAACATCTTTACATTTATTGTATTCGTGGCACTTTGGTTTTTATAGTCTGAGATCCAAACTCTAGTTCTGCCATTTCCTAGCTCTATGCCTTCATTCTCTGGGCTGCTTGCTCAACTCTCAGACAGTGGGTACAACACCTCCCCGCAGGAGATGCTCTGAGGTTCAATAATGTGTGTTAAAGGTTAGATCCAAACATAGTGCCTGGAATGCAGAGTTGGCATTAAATAAATTATAATCTCTTTCTTTTCCTCTTTCCAAGAAACAATTTTGTTTATTCTCAAACAAAACTTATCACATTTAAAATTTCTCTAAGGAAGAATTTGCAAATTTCCTGTCATAACTGATTGCAATGTTAGATAAGAAAAAAGTTACAAAATCTAAGTGTATGTGAGTAATGTCTATTTAATGGGGGTTTGAGATTGACCAAAGTACCTCCTCTCTCAGTCATCCTGAGGTATTCCAGTAACACTTCTAGGTAAGATGAGATGAAAACAGCTCAATGAAAAAAATGCCTAAATAAATCCAAACTATTTGACATTTTTGAGGGATGGATAGCACTGATAAGATTTTAAAATAAAATTAACATATCTTTGGTAAATTAATTTTTTTGAAAAAGCCTAAATCATGTACTTTATTTTTTTCCCATTACCATTTAGTATCCTTATACCCCTCTCCCCCACTGCAACTACCACCCTGTTGTCCATGTCCATGAGTCCTTTTCCCTTTTTGTTTGGCCCTTCTACCTTCTAACCCTACCCTCCATTATCATGAGATGTTTAGTATTAAGCATTATTTGAAGTTTTACAACTTAATGAAGATATAGACTATATTTTCTGCTACACCCAGGAAAAATGTAATTTTCATTGAAGGAATCATAATACAATTAGGAACTTTTGCTTAACAACACAATTTAAATGGTGGACTAAATTTTCTTTTCTTTAAAAGAACAGAAGAAAGAACTTACTTCTAAGATTGTGAAGCAGCATATCTAGTAAAGTCATAAATTTTGAATACTGAATAATAGAAAAGTCCATGCCTTTAGCCCACAAAAATCCAGATACATAATAATCTAGTAGAATGGCTTCTTTAAAACAGGTTTGAAGGTTTTTGAAATTCAAAAACATGGCCAATTTCCTGTAACAAAAAGAAAAATTCAGGTATTAAAATCAGATGAAATATCGAACATTTGCTTTTCTGTTTTGAAAATGTAAATATTTTTCTTGAATGAAAATTTATTAATGTTCATAATCTATAAATATTTATAGCTATATCTAAATTAAGTCCAAAATGACATTCAAAAGAGAAAGAGAGAGGAGAGAAAGAAAGAGAGAAAAACCCTTTTTGGTCTTCTTCCTCTACTTCACTCATTTCTAATTCTCTTCCTTCTAGGCCTCCTTTCTCTTTTTCCATCTTTGAAGTATAGTAATGACTATGATTTTTTTCTTTGAAATTCAATGTCTTTTTCTATTATACAATCAAGTTTCTTTTCCTCCTGACAATTTTCTGAAGCTAGATTGTTAAATATTTGTTCTTTTTAAAAAGAATTCCAATTATGTATATTTGCTCCTTTTTTCTATAGCTATAATTTTCTCTTTAACCTTCAAATTTTTTTCTAATCAATTTCCTTTTAATTTTACATACTTTTCTCATTACTGTCTTCTGTGTCCCTCTGTGTTTTCGGAATGTTAATTCTCCCTTGAGCTGCTTACAAATTTTACCTCTGCAAGACTGTTCCTTTTCTACTCTGTTTTACACATTTATTATCTTTTATTTCTTATTACCTCTTTCTTGAGTTTGTATATCTCTGTTTCATGTTCTTGCAGTAATCGCTTCATAAGTTTTTTATTAAATTCAAGATAAATATTTGACCTTATTTTTTTAACTGCTCATGGCTGTATTTTTCTGGTGTATTTAATTTGCATATGAGTTCTTTTTCCTTGTAATATCTTTGTATGCATATTTCTTGTTAAGTACTCAGACCTGGCCATGTTACAAGCTATTTTCTGTATGAAATAAGTTGCTGTCAATGAGTCTAGTTTTACATGTTTTAATTAGTGGGGAAAAAAGAAAAAAAGTAAGACAGGTTTTCTTTACTATGACATAAACAATCTATTTCTTGTGAACATGGGAAGGACCCGCTCCAAGCCTTTACCACCTGGTCCTGCTGCTGCAAACACAAGTTCTTGGAATGGCACTTCAGGGTTGTATCTTCAGCTGGGAGAGTAAGTATATTTTTACCTCATCCTAGGATCTTCAAATACGTATATCCCCCTAGTCCTCTCTCCTGCACTTTTGCTTTATCTAAATGCTTCTGGCATCCATCCATGTATTTTGTGGTTTGGGCCTTCAGCACGCTTCTTGTTGGAACAAAGATGTAATTAGTATTTCCTCATTGCTTATATGTGATTTCTGAAAGAGTATGTGACAACTTTATACTGCTTTTCACAAAAAGGGAAGTACTTACTAATCACAGTATTAAAATAAATTACATGATCAGAATAATAAATGCAGCAGGATTGAACAAGTCTCAGAATAAATAAAGCTGAAATTGTGTTTAACTCTCTTAACATCCACTTCATCTACAGTCAGATCAGGGTAGACTTCAACTCCAAAAGTGAGTTCTGACTCTTCTAAGCCAATCGTCGTAGTCTTATCCCCTTCCCATAATGCCATATAACGCCATTCAGTACATGGCATTCTCTGTAATAACTATTGGTCCATGTTGGGCACTCTCCTAAATTGTTCTAATTAATTCATAACTAAGGATAAAGTTCATTTTTTTTCCTGTAGAACAAAAATACAAAAGGGTAAATAACTAGGTGTTTTTGCTACTGACAACCATAAGATTGTGCCTCATTTCTTAACACTATTGAGGCCTTGTGTTAATTAACTCTGGAGTCAGACTATCTCTGAATGTCTTGTTATGTGACAGTATACATATACACGTGTGTATTTTTTTACTTTTTAAGTCAATAGGATCAGTTTTTCATGTTACATGCAACTGAAAGCATCCTAATTGACACATTTCATCAAGCACACCACTCAGTTGGTGGATACATGTATGAACAGACAAGCACTAGAAAAGAGGAGAGATTGCCTTAGCAGCCAGGCATCTTCCATTTGCATTGGCTATCAGTCGGCAAGATTTATTTTTCCATGTTGAAGGTATAAAATCATTTAGTCTTAATCGAAAGTCAGTAAGGAAACATCTACAGTAATAAAATCTTCTAGTATTTTAATAGAATCAATAAATGGGCCAATGGAACAGGTAGAAAGCCCCAAAATGGGCCCAATATATAATGGGAGCTTGGTATATGACAGAATGTATTTCAAACCAGTGAGGGAAATATGAACTCTTCAGAAATGGTGCTGGGAACAATGACTAGCCATATCGAGAATAAAATGCTACCTCACCCAATAAACTAAAGTAAAATCCAGGTGGTTTAACTAAAGCAGCACCGCAAATTAGTACTTTATTCTGGAGTCACATTCTTTTTACTCCCTAAATTTGGTTACTTGTCACTCCATTGATTTCTGCTACCTATTATTGTTAAGGAAAAGTCAGAGGCTTGCCTAATTATTTTCCTGTCTAGGTTACTCCCCTTATACCAGAGATAAGGTCATGTATAAAGTTTTAACAGTATTTAAAGTATTATTAAAATATTAAAATCAAAGCTTATATTTTATGAAGTTCAAATTTTTTTTCTGATTCACTGTGTCGGCTGTATATTCAAACACCTCCTAATTGTTTTAATCTGCATTTTGTATGTGTTTTCTCAAATATGTTTTCCACATTACTGCCTTAATTTTCAGCAAGGTAAAAGTTCTGCATTGGTTTTACTCTCTAGTTTCTTAACCTAGTTCTACAAGCTTTTTATTTACATATTTCATCAACTTTTCTTTAACCTGTAGTTTTACAGAACCAATGTCCTCTTTAGTCACCAGCTTTTGTCTGGTGCTTTCTTCTGTTTCTAGCAGTTAATATTCCTTCTAAGTGTACTCTTCATCTGCCATCTCCATGCTATGCATTTTAAAAAACTAAATACTTGGCCTGAATAGTTACATTTTTTCTTTGCTTTTTATTTTTATTTTTTCAGTGTTTGATCGTATGTGCATGAAGGTAACTGCTTGCATAAGAGTATTTTGGTGCAATTTCTTTGACATCCTCCACCTTTACTCTCCTCAAATTCCCTCCACCTCTTTCCCTAGTACCAGGATCTTAACCTTCAACTTGAAGTGCAAGGCTAAATATTTACTGTTTTTATTTTCCATTCAGTCATTTCACCCCAAAGGAAATTATGCAAGGAGGAATTTGGAGCAAGTGGTTCGAATTCAGTTTCCATACGCTGCTGGCAAATCTGTAAGCTGTTCCTCTGGGGACAAGGAGACAAGAGATGGGGGAAGGGGAGAGGCAGTCACAGCAGTAGAATGAGAAAATGCAGGGAAAGAGAAAGATGCTTCATAGTGACTCAGGAAGTTTTGCTACAGTGATAGGTGATGTAATTATCTCACCAAGAATTTAGTGAAAATATTACATTATTTTTGTATGTTCTTTAAATTTTTGCATGCTCATTTTATTTTTTAAGATATGATGGCATGCAGAAATAAGGCTTAAGGCAAGAACTGAACAGTTCATGAAAGCACGGTTATAGAAAGGTTATTGAAAGATTTCTTAGTGCTATTTCTGTGTTTAAATAGTTATTTTTAATTTTGTTGCTATCATTTTTTTCAAAAAAGATTTGGGTAGATCTATAGATAAAATCAGGGATACATTAAAACATAATCGATACTGGTTAGGAGATGATAAGAAATGTACCTAGATATTTAACTTTACTTGCAGTGTAGTCCACAGATATGTTTTAATGGTACTTTAATGTTTTATTTGGTTGGCTGCTTTTATGGAGTATAATTTTTCTAATTATAAAAGGTAGAAAAATATGCTAATTTCCTATAATTAATTTAAATAGGTTTATAGCTTTGTAGACCACGTGCTTTTGGCATACTTCTGTCACTTAGTGACAGGGTACTTAAATTATATCTCTGTTATGTTGAAAGGTATTTAATCCCCATTTATAATAATGTTATTTTAAATAGAAAGTGAATGGATGATTGCAAATATTTCAGGATTACCATTACAAAAATCATATTAAAAACCTCAAGAAAATTACTTTGCAAAGAAATGGCTCCTGACATAACACTGCTATCATTTATCCAAAATTGATGTCCTAAAATTTGAGATTACTTCAGGTGAATTCTATTAATGACACAGTTTAAAAGGTCAGACTATGTTGAACTTGCTTGTTTCTATACCGCTAACTTCACCCTCTGTATCATCTCCTTTGTCCTAGACTTCACCTCTTAAAGATTAAAATACTTTTAGAATTTATATACTTAATGACAAAGACAACCAATAATTGAAAAAAAAGATTGTCACAGAAGGTATGATATACAGTACAACTTAGGATGTGGTAATAAATAAATCTAAAAAGCATTTGTCCACAATACCTTTTATTTGATATTAACTGCATTTAATATAAAATCTTTTATTTATAATATTTAATAAAAATAAATTTAAACTATATTAAATATCTGTCAGTTGCATTAAATTATTTTGCCTAGTATTAAATACCTAGCTCTTGCTTTTCTATGACCAACAACATTTGGGATTATGTAGAAATGGAAAGCAATATTTTACTTCAATTGTAAATAATCAGTGATATTAATACAATGGGCTTTATTAATCAATTCTGACACTAAAAGTTAGAATTCACAATGTGCATTCATGTCTACAAAAATGGTAAAATCACCATGAAATACTTGTTTTAAAATCAGTAAAATTTTTTATTGACTAATACTCATCAAGATGCAGATAACAGTATGGCCAAATCACAAATCACCTGCATTTCCTGCAGGATTTGCAGGCACTAGGGGTGAACAGCATCTTGGGAAAGGCCTGTCAATGTCATTCACCTGCTCTTAATATGCCTTCCCTTCTTAGATTTCTCTTCCAGCCAGTACATCTGTCATATTTCCTTCTCAGTAGTAAATCACCTCTATTCCATAATATTTCCGAGATTTGCAAATGATAACCACTGACAGAGTCATTTTCTATTTGTCCATTATAGTCCACAATATCCTGCTAAAATCTGGAGGACTGGCCTGCAGAAATCTTACACTGGGACATTAATGTCTAGGACATCACATTGTCCCACACATTACAGCCAATCAAGATTCCATTATTAGAGCCAGATGATTTTTAAAATGAGTGATTACTAAAATCACCATTTAGGAATTTGTGTGTGGGATACATCTGACTAGAGTTCTAAGTATGTGTTCTATTATAGAAATCAATGGTCTTAAAAATAAGATGTACATATGTTACAATTATTGCTTATAAACTCAGTTATACTCACATTTTTAAGCAAATGTATGAAATCAGAGTACTCAGTATAGCTCCATATCCAATAAAAATCACAGGTGAATGGCTAATAGTCAGAATTTCCAAAATAATAAAATATATTTATTATTCATATTACAGAAAATACAACATACTCTTTTCATGATGAACAGAAGACGTAAACATTCTTGTGAATATTGACAGTTTTATGAATAAAAGGGAAAAGAAACAGAAAACAGCATATGGTAAAGGCTGCTTTTAACTCATAAATCCTTACCCTCAGTTAATATTAACAAGTTGGTTTGAAATGCATATCTCCCATAAAGAAGACTGCTGAGCATTGCAAAGTTAGTTGTTTGAGAATTTTTGTATACCAGAGTCTGGAGATATTTAGAAAAAAGTTTAAAATACGTAATAGAATATCATGCTCATTTATAGATGCAAAACTACAACTGTTCTATATTTGGTTGTAATACTGAAGAGCTTACTTTTGAACTCCATCTACATCCTCTGCTTGCATTTCTGTGATTTGGGCAACTGAAAGAAAATCTGGAGACAGAATCTCTTCATGTTCCTGGAATTCAGCAGCATCTTTCTACAAAAACAAACACAAAACAAAACAAAAACAAAAACAAAACAAAACTGTTCTGACTTATCTCAACATATGTTTTACATATTAATCCCAACAATATCAAAATTTGTTCTTATTGTACTCTAGTTGCTATCACGGTTTTGTTTTAATCTTAGCCCAAGGATATGTTTATTGATCTTAGAGAGACAGGAAGAGGAAAAGAGAGAGGTAGAGAGAAAAACATTGATAAAACATCGATGTGAGAAACACTGGTCAGTTGTCTCCCGAACACATCACAACTGGAGATCGCACATACAACCTAGGTATGCGCCCTGACCCAGGATCGAACCCACAGTCTTTTGGTGTATTGGATGATGCTTCAACTAACTGAGCTACTAAGCCAGTGCAGGAAAAAAAATTTTAAGACAACAGTCTCCTAGATTATCCTTTTTTAAAAAATTATTTATTTAGCTTTAGAGAGAGGGGAAGGGAGGGAGAAGGAGAGAAACATCAATGTGTGGTTGCCTCTCACATGGCCCCCACTGGTGACCAGGCCCACAACCCAGGCATGTGTTCTGACTGGGAATTGAACTGGTGACCCTTTGATCTGCAGCCCATGCTCAATCCACTTAGCTACACCAGCCAGGGCTAGATAATCCTTTTTATTTTCTGTTTTTAAGTAAAAGTTGAATGGCTACTCAATCTATCTTTTGTACACATGTAAAACTGAATGATAGTTTTCAATTAATAAATATTTTTAATATCCACATATTCCTCATTGAATTTCAGATTCAGGAGGAGACAAATACAAGTAAGACTTGCTAGCCTCAAGAACCTTAACATCTAGTGGGAGGAGCAAACCAAGGTTGACTTTAAAACAAGAAAATGAAATCGTAGACCATTAGAAATGTGGCATGCAGTCTAAATGAAGGGACAAGAACCAGGATAGGACTAGGAAAGTCTACAGACAGAAGGTCCAGGAGTGGACTTTGTGAGATTAGGCATGGATAGTGCCCCAGGTGAATCAATCAGCAATGCCAATGTGACAAAGAAGTGACAGTTGGGCATTAGTTCTGTAAATATCAAGTAATTCACAATGGTGCCTAGGGTACAAGTAGGGGACTAGTTGGATCTAAGTGGGAAGTCACCAATAGGAACCTATTGAGGGAGATCTTAAATTTAATAATTCAATAAATATTTATTGAGTGATTACAAGATACAAGATACTGTACAAAGAACCATAAACATTTTACACCCTGGCTGGTTAAAGAATGACAGGCTAAAGGGTTTGTTCTTATTAATAGAGTAGTGCCTATCAACCTTTTTCATCTCATGGCACACCTAAGCTAATTACTAAAATTTTGTGACACACCAAAAAATGTATTGTTTGCTGATGTGACAAAAAATAGGCATATTTTGATTCATTCACACTGATAGCTATTGGTGGCTGTCATTTTTTTATTTGACAATCTAAGAGAAAAGAGGTCAGTGCCCCTGACTAAATGGCCAGGTTTTGTATGTTCTAAAAATTCTTGCAGTACGCCAGTTGAAAATCACTGTAATGGGGCAATAGGACACCCGTGAAGTTTTTGAGCAGTGGAATGGCAAGGTAAAACTGTGCTTCAAGGAAGGGTAGTCTGTAGCAGGGTGAAGTTAAGGCAGGAGCAGAGAAAGGACACAGAGGAAGAGTTAAATGAAAAGGTTGTTAAAACAGTTCAGGAACGAGGCATGGGGCAGTAGGACTAGACTCCATACAGTGTGCATGAAAAGAAAGGGGTGAATGCAACATACAATATATGGGGGACTAAAAGAGGGAAGAACGAATAGAGACTCTGAGTTTCTGAAATAGAGGACTAAAAGCAAAAGGGCCTCCATCAGCATGTGTGCCACCTCTGTGTGACCTAGACAAAGGCATCCTCTCTAAGTGCAGGAAATGCTAAAAGTCTTAAGGCTGGCGCAGCCCTGGGCCCAAGTGCACCACTTGTGAAGTCAGTATAGTTGCAGCTTCTGCTCAACCCTCAGCCGAGTTCTTTTGTCCAGAGTACAATCTGAGAAACTGTACATGGTACGCTCATTATACAGAATAGAAATTGGAGTCCTGGAAGATGATGCTAGTTTCAAAAAGGCAAGATAATGAGTTTGGTTTCAGTCACTGAGTTTAAGATGGACTATGCCTATTAAGGAAGAAATGTTTCAAGGTTAATTAGGAATGCTAGACTCAAAAGGGTAAAGTTTGAAGATCCTGGCTTAGGAATCACTGCAAGTGTGAGAATGGATGAAACTGCCCAAAGCCAGAGCAGGAAAAGAAGGGCTGTGAATGGGATGGAAGAGGAGACACAGACACGAGTAAGAGCAGCAGCCCTGCAAAATCAAGGATTGTGAGGTTTTGGGGAGAGAGGCTGCAAGAGGTTTTCAAGTCACCAAACAGCGATGTATCCTTCTATGTGAATAGGCTCCAATATATAAGAAAGCAGAGAAATGCTTTGCTATACTGAATGAGATGTCCCAAATTTTCCTTATTCTTTTCCCAGAGTAAAAAAAACTCAAAGCTAGCAGTTATTGGTAATGGCAATCAGCTTAATGCTTATATTTAAATTAGGTTGTTTTATTTTCATTTTAAAAAATCTAATTTAGAAATAAGATATACTACTTCAATAGCTATATTATTGCAATGTAGGGTTAGCAAATAACCTAAACAACATCATTCTAGTAGATTAAAATCTCAATAAGACAAAAATACTTGAGTACCTAATATAGGCACTCAGATACTTGGGAATTAAATTAAATGCACTCAGTTTTTAGATAGGATAGTATTTTAGTCCACAATACTTAAATATATATTTGGTTAAATGTTTGTCTTTTATAAATATTTTTATTAGTAGCAGTAAAGTATAATTATCCCTGTACTATCAATCCCATTAGGTTATAAATTCCCCAGGGACAGTTATTCAATCTTTTATCTCTTTTAGAATTGTACAAATCCTAGTCATGTCCACATAGGTTGTTAATAGGCTGCCTGAATTCATCTCCATCATAGGGTGGCACTGCTAGATGATGCAGCGCGATGAACAGCAGGACTTGGATCTGAAAATCTCATGAGGTCTGACTACTGATTAATTTTGAGACTTCCAGCAAGCCATATGAACCTAAATTTGGATTCATGTTGAAAAATCATTTTTGATATGTTTTAATACATACAAGATTGCTATCATTATTAATAATGAATAAAGATATTCATGAAAGGTACATTATACAGACATTCAGATCAATTTTATTATATTTAAATTTTTTCTGGATTGGAAAAAATAGGTCATGCAAGAACTATATGAAAAAAATACAATAATCTTAAATTTTTATATAATAATAATTCTACTTAAAATGCCTATGATTACTGCTTCATTTTTCTTCCACTAAAACTTGAGAGCTTAAGATAATCATCTTGTAGGAGGGTTTGTCTCTGGTGTCTTTTTTTCATTGTTTTAAATGGAATTCCTGGACCTATTTTAAACTAGAGCTCTTCTTATGTGTTTGTTTATAGAGTGGTTAAAATCTTTAATCTTTTAACACATGTATTCTAATTTGCACAAATTGAAGATACAATAGAAAATTCATGAATAGCCTAATAAAAATGTGGCTATGTAATTGTGGCTTTCTCTGTAAAATTACATCTCTGACTAGGAAAATCTGTAAGCTAAACTGCAGTATAACTCATTTTACTCCACCAGCTGGTGGATTTTAGCAGTTTTTCCAGAAGCAATAAAATTGAAAGCCTGATATTATTTGACAGATAATCTTTTCTCTGAATTTTTTCTCTAATGTCACCTAAACCTTCCACATTGTATATACGTCTTCCTTGTAGAATCTAAGGTTTCTGGGGGCATCTTTGTATCCATCACTGGTAGTGCCTTAAAAGATTCTTAATGTATATTCCTTAAAAGAAAAACACATTTCACCAAAGATGACTAAAGAGGGGTTTCACAGTCATAGAGAACATGGAGTGATCTACAACTTCCACACTTGAAAAGACTTTCTTTATGCCTGAAAATAAATGAACTAAGAAGCAACACTGTGTTGAACCATGTTGGAGCCTGAGGCAAAACGGGAAAAAAATCAGTCATACCAAGGCTGTCTTTATTTAACACTTTGATCCACGGGGACTTTTTTGCAATAATTTTGATTTTTTAAATATTGTATTAAAATATAGTTTATTTTTACTGCTGCATTTTTGACATCCCTTAAATTTTGTGCTCAAGGGGAGTGCCTCACTCACCTCACTACAGTCCTGACAGTGCTAAACAGCTAATTTAAGAAAAAGAGAGTTGAAAGAAGGCTAAGTTAAAGCAAGAGCTAGTTCTTTAAAATAATGAATAAAATAGGAAAACTTTTGGCAGATGTGATTAAAAATAGACAAGAAATAAATATATGCCACATAAGTGGGAATACACTTCAAATTAACAAGGAAATGTGTGATTTTGTAGGAACATGTAAATTATCAAAAGTGACCAGGGGAAAGGAAAAAACGGAACTGACCAAACATAAACTATGCTGAAAGTCTACTTTTTAAAAAGTCACTGTGCCCAACATGTGAAGTCCTACCTAACAAACAAGAACACAAATTCTGTTAAGTGTAATAATTATAGACTGTAGATAATCCATTTTTAAGAAGCCAAAATAATCTACACACAAAAACCTGGATAGCATGAGAAGAAAATTATAAACCAAAATCATTAACAAATTCAGATGCTAAAATTCGAATTAAAATATTGTCTTAGTGAATGGGTAAACAATGAGATCAAGGAAGAAATCAAAAAGTTTTTGGAAACAAATGAAAATGAATACACAGCAACCTAAAACCTACAGGACACAATGAAGGCAGTCCTAAGAGGGAAGTTCATAGCAAAGCAGGCCTATCTAAAAAAGATACAAAAAATTCAAATAAATGACCTAACCCTACATCTACAAAAACTTGAGGAACAACAACAAACAAAGCCCAGAGTGAGTAGAAGGAAGGAAATAATTAAGAT